TGTGCAATCCTTCTGCCTTGTCCGCCATCTTGCCGGAACTCCCATACTGAAGGTTTTGATCTTCGTTAGTGAGTGCTTCAACTCCTCTTTGCTTCAGCAAGCAAGGTTGTATCATCTTCATATCACAAGTTGTTAATGATTCTTCCTCCAATCCTGATGCCACGTTCTTCATATAGTCCAGCTTCTTAGATTATTTGCTCAGCATACAGATTGAATTAGTATGGAGAGAGGTTACAACTCTGATGGGACCTCTCCTGATTTTAAACCATACAGTACCCCTTTGTTCTGTTCAAATGACTGCCTCTTGGTTTATGTGTATAGGTTCCACATGAACACAATTAATTGTTCTGGAATTTCCAGTCTTTGCAATGTCATCCAGAAATTTGTGTGTGATATCTGCAATTACTGAGCTGCTTCAGAGTAGCATCAGATTCATCTTAGTTCATTCAGTTTCATTTGTTTGTTCTGTCATTCACTCATTGATACTTTTATCAAACAGTCAGTGTGTGTTGGAAATATAGAAATGAATAAGTCATAATCCTTTCTAGAAGTTTTCTGTAGAAGGAAAGCAGACCTGTAAGCAAATAATTTCAATGCAGAATAAATTTTAAAATGGAGTTATCTATTACCTTCTGAGGAATGTTGGATAACTCTACTAGGGTAGGGCAAAGAAGATTACATAGAGAAGATACTGTGTCCCAAATTTTGGCAGATGCTCTATTAACATTTACTGCATTGAATCGGATGGTCTGGTCATTGTCTTAATTATATTTTCTCAAATGTTACACTGGTGTTATCCTAATGGGAGCATATCTCCAATGTAAATGTGGATGAAATAGAGGGAATAGGCCTTGATTATAAACACTTATAAACTTGGCTAGACGTATGTTTCTTAAAATGACACCCAGCTATACCATAAATATAATGTACATGGTTGCAGTGTAGTAAATTACTTTGTGTGGCTTTTCTACCCATAAGTCTTTGTAAACTCCAAGGTGGAATTTGCTATGAGCAACTGAGGAGCT